AATCTTTGTTCAAATACTGTGTTTTCTTTTTATGTAAGAGTTCTTCATTACATTCCAGGTACAAGTCTGATCAAGATGGATGATTTGCAAATTTCTTCTTGTATTATGTGCATTTTATTTTCATTTATCCTTTGTTTTTTACTGTGATTAACATATGTATTATGCTTGTGTATGCATTTTAGTGTGATATTGCAACACATGCATCCAGTGTGAAAATGACATATGCAATCTTCCATTCTCCTTCCATCTTTCTAATATAGTCATAATATCCTTCCAAAGCAACAGTATACAGTTTAATAAATATTGTTACTGTCCTACTAGCCTGCTTTGAAATTGTCGTTTTTATTTTTTTCTCTTTAAAATATTAAAAAAGCATAGGGGTTTCAAACTTTTGAATTGTGAATGTAAGTGTAAATTTGTCTAGTATTTTCTTTTATTGCTTTTTCATTTGGTAACATGCCTAAGAAATTATTGCCTATTCCAAAGCCACAAAGTTACATACCTCTTATTTTAAGAAAATAATTTTAAAAGTGCAGAATTTTTTTTATTTCATATTAAGAAAAAGAACTCTTGTATGCCAGAACCCTTCTATGATTTCATTGTATATTAAGTTGAAGGATCAGTAAAGCCAATCATGGTGATTCGCAATTACCAGAGTAGCAATTACCTGCGAGCCGAGTCAATATCACCTGAGAAAAGCACGTGAGGGAGCCTACTGAGGTAATGGAAACATTCTGTATCTTTATCTGTGGAATGTTTATGTGAGTGTGTACATAGGTAAACATTCATTAATTCACTTAATAGTTGTATTTTATATATGTATACTTTGTAGTGCAATAAAAAATACATGAACTGTTCTAGCATGTGACCCATGTGAATTTTCTAGAGCACTGCTACATTACTCCATTTGATGTCTAAACTACTCTTCAGAGTTCCACAAGGTAGGTAAAAGTATCTCCATTTTATTGACAGAGAAACTGAGTGAGCTGCCCAAACTCCAAGGAGAAGTTTGAGTTGGTGAAAGAGCTGGAATTCCTGTCAGGAACCATAAACTTCTTTCTACTGCAGCTATCTAGGCTTTGTTCATTGTCTTTCCATTTTCTGTTTTTTTTTTTTTTCCTGAGTTGTTGGTGAGTTGAAGGCAACATTTCATGATGTAGCCTGCAAACAGCACAACTGAGTAGACAAGGGGATTGGGCAGAAATGGAATCCCAGAATGTGTCATACTCCAGAAGAAAATACAAAAGACAACTAAAATTTCCCCCTCTGTCCCATTCCCACTAATTTCTTTTAAATTTTCATTCCAAAGCAATGGTCCCAGGTTTCCAAACTTTGATCAAGTGACTTTACCATATTCAGGAATATCTTGCTGAAAAATGTTCAGTAAATAGTGAGGACAATGTCCATTTTAGTCAAAGTGATTTAGGTATTGAAGATATTGGGAGGAGTCATTCTCAAATTTCAGGTTACTGCTGGCAGCAGGTAGTGAGGAGAAATGTGTTATGGTAAAAAAACATATATTAAACTTGGTTTTCATTTTTTCTATTTCCTTTTTTTTTTCTTTTTTGTCCCAAGGATCAAAGTCATGACCTTGCACTTGTCAGAAAGGTGCTTATGCCACTGAGTTAAATTCCTGGCTAGGTTTGAATTTCACATTGCAACTGCAGTTAATCAATGAAAAAGCTTAGGTGCCTTTTCCTTTTCTCCCTCACAAATCTTAAAAATGACAGATGTGCACTCCTCTTTGCAAAATCGCCACCCTTCCAAATGGGATGAAGGAAAGAGCCAGGTTAAACTTGGAAGAATGGGGAAAGAACTCAATAATTCCTCCACATCTCAGATGCATAAAGCCCTATACTAGATCTTTAACATATATATCTTTACATTTAATTCTCTAAATTACTAGACAATGTATCAAAATCTATATTTTTACAGATGCTTTAAAATATGAAACCGTTTTAAGAACATATAACTAGTGAGTTGTAGTGTTGGTATTCATCCCCAAGTCTGCATATTCCTAACACCTTTGATTTTTCCTTATGAGATGTTATTTCTTACTGTTTAAAAGTCATTTCTTGAGAAATAAATAATTTAAGTTGATAGGCACATAATCACAGTTTAAGAAGCAAAACATCTTGACAAGCTAATAAATCACAAGCATGAGTGTGGTATATACTCTCTGCCTGGTACAGGGCTAGGCACTGGCTGGGCAGTGGTCCCTAATCTAGGGAATTTAAAGTTATTACTGTGGGAGAAGTTTGGGGGATTCGATGAACTTTTCTGTCACAGAGAAGTTCTAGAATTTCAGCTAGACTAGTGGAATGTCCATCTGCAATTTATGGGAGTGAGTGATTTTCTTAAAATCTATGTAGTTTTTCTTAATTTCTCTTAAAATGCGAAGGCGGCTTCATCTGCCACATGACACTGGTGATCACAAGGAAAAAACTGATACAATGTTGCACATTGTTCTTGGATAATGAGATTAAACCCTCATTAGATAATTTTGTCCATACATACTGACTTCCTCAGACTAGGCCAGAATCGATGTTTTTATTCTCTTCAATAAAAACAATTTGTTCAGCTTCTAATGAAAGATGATTTAATTTATACGCATTGGATAAGCAATTTAACAAAAAAAGAGAGAAAAATAAATACTCTTAATTACCTGGGTCCTGATATGGGGGTTTGGCAATAAACATCTCAGCTAGACAGAAATCTAACAACCAGGGTAAGAGGGATTTTTTTTTTATTGGTACCAGAGATCAAATTCACGACTGCCGGCTTGCAAGGCAGGTGCTTATGCTGCTCAGATAAATCTCCAGTCCCTGAGGGATATGTTCTTTTCTCATAATGTTTACTAAGTGGCTGTACCTCTGGAAGTAGCATGTCACAGACACCTAAAGGCCTCCAGTAGCTGCCATGAAAATTTGAAATGGCCCGAGTCAAGAGTTTATTTGAAAAGGAGTTCAGATTTTTGGTCCATCCAATGCTTTATGTTTTTCTAGAAAAGAAAAAGGTACAGGATAATTGTGTACACCATTATGCTGGCTTTCTTCTCATAGCAGTGAGTTTCCTTGTCATGAATACTGCGATACCACTGGTGATTTTTGTGCTCAGTGAGAATGGTATGTAGCAAGGAGAGGACAGTATACTTAGTGAGGCTGATTCCATGGGCCATTAATCAAAAACATACCATTAGAAGATATATTTACCTTCCAGAATAATGAATTTCTCTTTTCTTTTCTGTCTTTTTCTCATTAATTCAGAACCTTCACATTGATCAAGAGTGATCTTTTGTTATTTTTTATTTTGTGACAAGGTCTCACTAAATTGCTAAATTGCCCAGGACAGGCTTGAACTTGCAATCCTCTTGCCTCAGCCACTAAGAGTACTAGGATTACAAGTGTGTGCCATAGCACCTGAATCAAAAATGGATTTCACAGAGCACTTTATTCAGAATGAAGAAATGGGAAAGAGCACCCTTGTGGATAGTGAGAAAACAAGAAAGTTATCAAGGGTATTTTATCCTGTCTTCATTGGGGACTTTTGTGGTGGCCACATAAAAAATACATACACACGCTGCTCTTTTGGTTTGAAAATATACATTCAGTACTTTTGTTTTTGTGCTTATAGAAAGGGAACTGAGGACCTTGTGCATGCTGCCATTGAGCCACATCATCTCAGGGTTTTAAAGACTTTGAATAAGAACCAGAAATTCACCATGATAGGAATAAGTAAAAATTTTCATCATCCTTTTCTTTTTTACAAGGTCAGGCCTCATTTATTAACTACTTTCATTAAATTCTTCTTTATAAAGATAACCTCTGTATATATACAATGTCTAAAACTTATGAACATTCAAGTGGCAAACTTTCACAAATAGGAACAGACCTAGAAATATGAACATTCATAGTTGGGAACAAATCATGGAGGCAGCACACTTGTCTGGCAGGCACTGTCACAGTTGTGCTCTGCTATGTGGTTACTGTACAGAGTGACAATGCAGAGCTCAGGACATCTGAAAGCTTTATTTTCAGTGTGTGTGTGTGTGTGTGTGTGTGTGTGTGTGTGTGTTTAGTTTTTTTATGCTTTGCATTGTGTATTAGTGTCAAAGATATATGAGTCTCACTTTTTTGGAGTTAAGAACAAATCTGACTTATTAATGTTTTCCTAAAATGGCAGATAGGATGAAACTCCCCCAGTTTTAGCACTGAAATATGTGTTGGAAAATCTCTTTTGCCTGAATAAACTGGATTAGAATTCATATAATCTCTCAGTCCAATACATCCTTAAAGTTATCTTTCTATCAGAAACTATTATCTGAGTAATGCTTTCCTTTCTCAACACTTTAATGTACCAGGATATTTCTATGTATTGTGTCATCATCCCATTCTGCCTAGGATAGAAGAAACAAGAGCTAGTGGTCCTCAGAAATACAAAATACTCTGTTGGCAAATAAAAACAATGTATCAGCTTTATCATGCATAAAATAAAGATAATAATTCCAGAGCTCCTTGTGTCACAGGACTATTATGCACAACAAATAATAAAAGGCAAGGACGTGCTTACTAAAGTCTTTAGAATTGTTTCCACATCAAGGATCATGCTTTTTCTGTATACCTGTACAGAAGTCAGCTACTTCTCTTGTCATTTGTTTCAGTGCTTGACATAATCACTAACTATGACCATATAAGCAAGAACTGTGGCCTCTGTGTTTCTGTTTCCCTATTTGAAGAATGGAGCTAATAACGATCCCAGAAATATTTTTTTGAAAATTTAATGAATTGTCACATGTAAAGCACTTAAAAGAGTTTGTGGCACATGGTTAAGGCTGTATGAGTCAGATATTTTTGTTTGAATTTCTCCACTCCTCTCCCTAGGAGCCAAAGATTAGATTAAGTGGATTCAGAAAACAAATGATGCAATAGTCATTAATTATCTTGTGGTACCTTTCTACTCACTCCCTACATCTTATATTCTGTATCCACAGTTTTCTCAACATGGACTGCCAAGAGAATGAGTACTGGGCCTAATGGGCACACTGTGTCACTTGCCAAGAATTTGGTCCTGGGCAGGAACTCTCTAAGGTAAGTCCCTCAAATCATTATACTTATTTTTTCACAATTTAGGATCAATTTGACAACTGAGAGAGGCCAACATTAAGGTAGTCAGGCTTGTCTGTGACTGATCTAGTTAAGCAGTGAAACATGAGATGCAGAGAATATACAAATGCAGTCATTATTGTAGCATGAAGTCAGCCTAGCAGGGTCAATCAAGATCAGAGAAGAGTTTCATGAGATAATGGGTAATTCAAGGGGATATGTATACTATAGAGACACAGGAGGACAGTTTGGCATGATAGCAATCTGTCTGCTAAAACAAGACTCACCCACGTGGGGTTGCATAGGCAGATTAGGTCTTGGAAATGGAGAAGAATGGAAAAGCAAGAAGGATCAAATGTAGCCTTGTCTCAAACAGTCTGGGCTATTGAAAATACTATGCAAGGGATGGTTAAAGGATTCAAGGCTAAGGAACCAGAGTGTGTCTAGAATCCCAGTTAAAGATAAAGTTCAGAACAAAACAACCAACAAGATAGAGAAAAGAGTGGGGCTAGAGTGCTTGTTTCTGTTTCAGGTTGTCTGCTAGTCCCTGAACTGGTGGTAGTACTGATTGTAGGTTGTAGCTGGTGTTACACAAATTAGAAGATAATTTCTGTGCATCCATATTCTGTGTTCATTAATTCAGTCAGTAAGTAATTATGTGTTGAACATCTACGAAATGGCAAATATTTTCATGGGCACCATGGATATTGCAAAACAGAGAAAAGACAAAGTCTTTGCCCTCATGAATGTTACCTTTTAAGTAGTGAAACAAAAATGGGACACATACATAGGTAAATGTGGAATCGGTATCTGAAGACATGACAAAAACTAAATCAGGGTGATATGACACAGAGGGACTGGGGAGCTATTTCAAGTCAGGAGGTGGTGGAAGGACTTCTTTTTTCTAGGGAAAGTTACAGTTAGTGCAGTGTCCAAGATGAGAATGAACCAGCTATTTTCTTTCTTTTTAATATAAAGAGAAACAAAACAAAACAATAAAAGAGTACAAGTAATACAGAATTTCAAAAAAAGATAAACAGTAAGAAATCACTAGTTAATAAATTACATATCATCATCTCATACAAAGTGGACATTCAGTGAAACTGCAAACAATTGTGTTTAATGATCCAACCAAAGCTTAGGAATATGGTCATCTATCTTACAAACCTAAACACCTTGTCCTTTATTTTCATCTCTTTTTTACAATAACATTTAAACATTTTGGGTTTTATTACTCCCACAGTTCTTATTACTTTTTTGGAAGAGAATAAAACCAAATGTGACAAAACAAAGCAGAGTCAGTCAAAACAAAGGATGGACATAGTACATGATGTAAAAACAAAACACTAGGTAATCAACAATGGTTACCATAAGATCCATTGCTACCTTAAAAAGAATTGCCTGTATCACAAGGTATAACAAAATTGAACATAACAGTACAGAACAAAACCAATAAAACCTAAACATTGGAGACATTACTGAACTTCAAAAGAAGATAATAGTCAAACCATCACAGTGAATCTTATTGCCTTCAAAGTAGTTGCCTATACCCTCAAACTGATAATATCAAACAGAACAGAATATAGTAAAATCACTCAAAACAAGATGGTGAGATCAATATGGGACTTCAAATAGAGTACATAGTAAATAAAAAAATTACTATAATATATCCTGCTAATTTTTAAAAAAATTCCCTTAATTAAAAATAATAATAATAAATTTTTAAAAAGAGGGTAGATTGAGAAAAAAGAGGAAATAACAGCATAACAATACAGGTCAGAACAACAATTTAAGTAACATAGTGTTTCACCACAAGATAACCTGACTTAATAGTAGTTACCATAGTGTCTCTTTCCTTGAAATATTTAAGTATAACTTCATATACTATAGCATCAAACATATCAAGACAGTGTGAAACCATTCAAGAGGATAAAAGTATAACAAGGTATTTAGAATCAGCTAACCGGAAACAAACAACGGTTTCTATATTATCACTTTGCCTGTAAATATTTTGTTTATACTATCATATATAATAAAATCCAATAAGATACAACATGATAAAAGCAATGAACGCAGAAAAACAATTTGAGGGGACCTCAAAACAAGATGATACTAAATCAACACCAGCTATTATGGTGTCTTGTTTTCTTCAAAATACCTGTTCATATCATCAGAGACAATACTATCAAACAGCCCAGAATAAAACCATTCCAATTAGTGCGTGAAAACTTTTTAAGGTTTCAAAACCATATAATGGGGAATCATGATTACCACATGTTTCCAAGATCTGACTATTACAAATTGTGCTGCTAAAACATGAGTGCACATATATGACTTTGGTGTGAAGTTTTCAGTTCTTCTGGGAATATGCCTAGAAGTGGAATAGCTGGAACAAATGGGATTTCCAATCCCAGCTTTTTGAGAAGTCTCCAGACTGACCTCCACAATGGTTGCACCAGTCTACACTCCCACCAACAGTGCAGGAGAGTTCCTTTTTCCCCACAGCCTCGCTAGCATTTGGTAGTTTTCTTCATCCTGGTCATTCCCTCAGGAGAGATAAAATCTCAGTGTGGTTTTGATTTGCATTTCTCTAATGAGTAATGATGATGAACATTTTTTCATGTATTTATTTTCCATTTGTATTTCTTCATCTTAGAAGCGTGTATTCATCTGAGATGCCCATTTTTGAATTGAATCTTTGAACTTTGAGGGTCTGATTTAAAAAAAAAATGTATATGTTTTAGATAAAAGTCTTTTATCTGAGGGACAGTTCACTAAGATTTTTTTTCTCAGTTTATGGGTTTTCTTTTCACTATGCTGGAGACTTCTTTTGACATGCAGAAATAATTTAATAAGAGGTGATCATAGTTATTGATTCTGGGAAGTATTTCCCATGTGGTTTGAATCCGGTTCATGAATTCTCTACCTACCCCTATGTCTTCAAGGGTCTTAGCCAATTTGTTTTTCAATAGATTTAGTAATTCTGTTTTAATATTTAGATCTTTGATCCATTTAGATTTTAATTTAGTACATGGTGATAGGCATGGGTCTAGTTTTAGTTTTCAGCATATGGAAAGCCAGTTTTTCCAACACCATTTTTTAAAGTGACTGTCGTTCTTCCAGTGAGCATGTTTGTCCCCTTTATTAAAGATAAGGCTGTTGAGTGTGTTTGTAGTTGTGGCTGTGTCTTCTAATCTATTCCATTGATCTTTGGCTCTGTTTTTATTCCAGAGCCATGTTGATGTGACTACAGTTACTTTGTACTACAACTTCAAGTCAGGGATTGTGATGCCTCTTGCCTTGCCTTTGCTGCTTAGAATTGTCTTTGCTATTCTAGGTGTCTTCTTACTCCAGATGAATATTAGGATTGATTTCTCGAGTTCCCTTGAGGTATGTTGATGGTATTTTTATTGGGATTGCATTAAATCTGTATAATCATTTTGGGAGAATGGCCATTTTCACAAAATTTATTCTTCCTATCCATGAGCAAGGGATGTTTTTCCATTTTTGGAGATCCTCTTCGGTTTCTTTTTTTAGTATATTATAATTTTCCCTGTATAGGTCTTCCATTTCTTTTGTGAGAGTAATTCCTAATTATTTCATTTTTTTGGCTGCTAATGAGAAATATGTGGCTTCTCTTATTTCTCTTTCAGTGAATTTTTTTGTTAGTGTTCAGGAATGCTATTGATTTTTGAGTATTGTTTTTGTATTCAGTTATGTTACTGAATTTATTTATTATACCTATGATTCTTTCAATGGAGTTTTGGGGGTCTTCTATGTAGAGAATCATGACATCTGCAAACAATGATAATTTAACTTCTTCTTTTCCTATCTTTACCCCTTTTATTTCTCTCTCTTGTCTAATTGCTGGCTACTATCTCCAGTACTATATTAAACATGAGAAGTGATAAGGGACATCCTTGTCTTGTGCCTGATTTTAAAGTAAAGGCCTTCAATTTTTGGCCATTTAGTGTGATACTAGCAGTTGGTTTGTCATAGATGGCCTTTGTTATATTGAGGTAAAGACAACCTATTCTAATTTTCTGTAAAGTTCTTATCATAAATGAATGTTGGACCTTATCAAAAGCTTTTTCTGCATCTATAGGAATGATCATGTGATTCTTAATTTTGGCTTTATTGATATGGTGGATTACAATTATTGATTTATGTATGCTGAACCCTCCCTGCATGCCTGGGATGAATCCCACTTGGTCATAGTGTATAATCTGTTTGATGATTTGTTGTATCCTATTTGCCAATATTTTACTGAGGATTTTTGCATCTTTGTTCATTAGGGAAAATGGTCTTAGTTCTCTTTTTTAGTTGGGCCTTTCTCAGGTTTTGGTACTAGAGTAATATTTGCTTCCAGGAATGACCCAGTAAGGATTGTTTCCCTTTCAATTTCATTGAAGAGTTTGAGGAGTGTCGGCATTAGGTCTTCTTTGTATTTCTTGTAGAATTCTGCAGTGAATCTGTCTGGGCCTGGGCTCTTCTTTGTAGGTAAGAACTTAAGTACGTTTTCAATTTCATTAATAGAGATTGGGTTATTCAACTGTTGTACATCTTCTTGATCTAGCTTTGGTAGTTCATATATTTCTAGGAATCTGTCTATTTCTTCTGTGTTATCAAACCTTTGAGAGTAGAGGTTTTCTAAATAAGTGTTTATGATCTTCTGTATTTCTACAGAGTATGTAGTGATTTGGCCTATTTCATTATTTATTGCATGAATTTGAGATTTTTCTTTCCTTTTTAAATAAGTTTTTCTAGAGGCTTATCAATTTTATTTATTCTTTCAAAGAACCAACTCTTTGATTCATTGATTCTTTGGACTGTTTTCTTAGTCTCTATTGCATTGGTTTCTGCTCTGATTTTTATAATTTCCACTCTTCTTTTGGCTTTGGGTTTGACTTCCTCTTCTTTTTCTAGATGATTGAGGTATAATATCAGAATATTTATTTGTATTTGTTCTGTTTTCCTAATGTGGG